ATAGGTGAAGGGGATTCAGAGGTACAATCTTCCAGTTACAAAATAAATAAGACATGGAGATTTACGGTACAGTACAGTTGTTACAATATTGTAACAACTTCATATAGTGACAGATGGTAACTAGACTTATTGTGGTGACCCTCCCATACTTGTCTGTAAATACGGAATCATTGTGTTGTACACCTGAAACTAACATAATATTGCATGTCTATCGTTCTTCAGTTAAAAAAAGTAATAGAATAGAGCTTGGCAGAGTAAGGGCACTGTTGCAGCAAAAAAGTCACTAACAGTTTGAGCATGCATTCATGCATTCACGGCTCATTTGGCTACTCACTCATCAGCAAAAGTTCATTAAGCAAAGTGCTTCCCTACTGCTGTCACTGTGCCCTAGGGAGCAGTGATGAACAGGACAGACCAGGTACCTGCCTTCAGGATTTTATTGTTGCTCTGTGCAAACAATGAGTTCATTGTAGATGTCTGGAGTCCCATATGTGGATATAAACTGGGTGCTCTGGAAACTGGTACATATAAAAATGTAATTATTTTTTTTATAGCCTTGAAACCATGCAATGCAAGGCAGAAGGATGTGGAGTGGAAAGTGTATATATGTGTACACACACACACACAGAGAAGGACACACATTCTATGTAGTTTTACATTTCTGATTTCCACTTCCATGAGGATATAGAGTAGTGGTTCAGAGCATGGATGCCTAGATTAAAACTCCAGCCCTCCTGTCATTCACTGTGTGATTAGAGGCAAATTATTTAACTTCTCTCTGGTTCATTTTCATTAGCAGCCAACGTGGATGATTATGATAGCGCGTACTTCGGTTTACTGTGGATTGTAGTGAGTTTAGTGAGCTGATGGTCCACAATGTTAGCTCTCACCAGCCTTGGACCGTTTTCATAAGGTAGAGTGGGAAAGGCACAGGTTTAATAACCAGCCAGACCCGGGCCTGAATCCTACTTCATCACTTACCAACCAAGCCAGTAACTCAGCCTCTGAATTCCAGTTTTCTCACCTGATAACAATACATAACTCTATGAGATTGCATAGTTCTTGGCAATTACCAGGCACTCAAAGAACAGCATTTATCCCTCTTTATCCCTCCCCTAAGATTAAAAACCATTTGAGCCCAATAATGGGATGAAAGTAAAGGCAAGAAAAAGAAGAAACAATATTTTGGAGAATTACAAGTATAAATATGATGTAGTATGTTTTTAAGGTCATTTTTAACATTTGAAAATGTGTCTTTAAAAACAAATCTCTGTAAGTATGTGAGAGAATGGCTTATCCACTTCTAGTTTTGTTTTTGGGTTTTGTTTTTGTTTTTGATATTTTGTCTGTTAGAGTGTGAGTGAATGAAATGGAATTCATAGAATGATCTCTAGATCTGAGCTAACTGCTGTAAAAACTCTAAGTTCTATTTTATTTTTATTTTCAAATGTAGTGTCTATGTAGCTATGCCATCATTCATAAACAGGGGAAGAGCAGCATGTACAAAAGAAGAGAAATATGTCCTGCTGTAGTAAGTCAGGAAGGAAAGGCTGCTCAGCTGGGCAGGCACTGGACGGATGGCTCAGGTGTTGTGCAAATGTCCCACCCTCCCCTGACACCCGATGCCTCCATCCACCCTCCACATTTCTGGCTTCCTGGCTGGTGTGAGGTCTGCACAACAATTTTGGGTTAATTTCTCTGTCTTTTCTCTAAAAGATTAAATCAGCAAATGGTCTAAGTGGGGGGTGGGCCTTAGGCTGTCTCACAAATCACCAGCTTCTTAATAAGTACTCCAAACAATTATAATAATAATGCAAGACAAAGGACCAACTTCTTAGTCCAGGGCACTGCCTTTATATCAATTTTTCTTTAAATGCACATTCAGGTTTTTTTTCTTCCCAAGAGAGTTTTATTAAACAAAGCTTATTTGATGACCTGTCTTTTTCTCTTACTCTGTCTTGCAAGTACATACGCTTCTGGGCCCAAGAAAGGCCCGAAAGGCAAGGCCTGCACACAGCTGTAAAGCCAGACAGAATACTGAAACTCATCTGACCCTCACCTCGCTAGCAAATCTTGCTTCTTCCAGTCACTGGGGACGAAAATTTTGGATGATAAGGAGTGGTTTTGGTCTTGTCTCTGCCAACCTGCTCTCCACTCCCTCTGCACTGTGAAAGCAGTGGGAGAGTGTGTGAGATCAGAACATCCCCAGCTTCTCTGGGTTAAATTCCACTCATGGGTAAAGTGTCAGGGCTGGGCTACATTTCTGAGTTCTCTTGCATGTCTAATTGCTCTACTGAGGTGTGACTGAACAATGAACCTTCACAAGTGGGTAGGGGCAATTCTTACATTCTAGTAATGGTAGCAATTCCCTAAGCCAGCATCCACTGCTCCCAGAGCCACCTTCCAAACTCCTGAAGTCCTCCGGGCTTCCTCTGACCGCTCTGTTCATTGCAGTAGGAGCCTGGACCCCCAGCCATGTGAGTTTTGGACCCAGTCTTTGGGATCCAGTCTTACACTAACATTGGAACCATGGTCCCGTGTGTAAAAATGAGCTCATTTTCAGTTCTTACTTGATAAGTATGGACTGGCCTGAGCAGACATGGGAGTTCTGGTCATAGACTCTTGTTAAAGAAATCTGGGAGGGGCACCTGGAGAGTGCAGTCTGGCTAAGTGACCGCCTCTTGGTTTCAACTCAGGTCGTGATCTCAGGGTCTTGGGATCAAGCCCCGCATCGGGCTCCATGCTCAGAACGGGGTCTGCTTGAATTCTCTCCCTCTGCCCCTCCTGCTGGGGCTTGCTCTCTCTAGAAATAAAGGATTAAATCTTAGGGAAAAAAAAATCTGGGAAAACTCGGTGGAGATGAGAACAGGGACAGGCACCTTCAGAAACCAACTGGTGAACACAAATATTTTTCAAGCAGGGTTTCCTTGTCCTCAAAATATAATTTTATATACATGGATTTCTTCAACCAACTAACTACCAAGATGACACTTTTTTTTGGTGGTTACAGGGTATTTGAATCAAAGAAAAAACTTTCTAAAATATCTTTTATCAAAACATATGGAGAAAAGGACACATGCAATCAATGTGCAGGTCAATACATTCTTATAAAGTGAACCATTGAGTAACCACAAACCAACTCAAAAATAGAACATAGTGAGAAGCCCTTATTCTATCCTCTCTCCTTCTCAGGAATACATTTATGATCTTATTGACAGCATCACCTCTCTGTGTTCCCTTCCAGAACCATTCCTGGGACCACCTCCCTCTCATTCTCACGGTTACTTCATTCCCTGCCCCCCATCTTCTGCCCTCTTAGGACAAAACAAAACACCCAGTATCAACTAGCACTGGTCATTCTCTTCCTCATAACCTGAAAGTCAGTAAATTGGGTCGAAAGGAATGGTGGGGGGCAAAGGGGATGAACCACTGTTTTCCTATCAGTAAGAAAACTCGGTATGTGCTGTCAGGGTCCTCAGGATTTTTGGAGCTCTCATTTCGGGGAGACCATACCATGCAGCCAAGATGAGAAAACAGAGGCTCAGGAAGGTGAGGCAGCTTAATCTCGATTTCAGGAAAGAAACCTTTGCAAAGTGTGGAGTCTTTGCCTAGGTCAGAACCAGAGGCTTCAGGGTATAAGGGGAATTCTCACCTCGGTAATGAATAGTGGCCCTAGGCCTCTTTGAGGAACTGGTGGAAGGCATGGAAAACTGTATACACCGAAAGCGCCTATCACTTTAGGGGTTCCCCTCACCAGTGAGCCCCTGGTACTTAGGAACTGTCCCCCTTCTGCTGCAGTGCCTCTCTGTGGGGATACAGCACATATCCAGTTCAGCTCCCATGGCCATTACCTTTCAGCCACAGATAGGTGTAATGTTAATGCAGTGCACCTGCCCCACAGACGGAACTGTACTTAAATGCACCCTCTCTCCCAGCACGGCGTGCGCACTGCAGGGTCGCCCTCCTTTCCCATGGAGCTGTCACAAAGGACAGCACTTGGCATCCTCACTCCTCACTGCCCAGGAGCACCGACTCCACAAAGTTCTGGTGCCCGGTTCTCTGGGATCGCTGCCATCTGGGTATACAGCTCTGGCCAGGAGGGCGCCCAGCGGCCCCAGGAGACTAGGAGACCGGAGGCGGCTCGACCTCATCTCGGCTAGACCCGGGCTTCCGCAAATACGCTGGGTCTTTGGCGAGCCGGTGCGGGCACGCGGTGGGCGGCAGGGGCGCAGAGGCGCCGGGGGGCGCGCGCGTGTGCGCACCGATAGGACGCCTGGACCGCGGTGCCCTGCTCTCCCGAGGCCTTAGTGGCCCCGGGCCGGGCGGGGGCCGGAGCCGCGAGAGCAGGAGCAGCGCCCCTACCGCCCGCTTTTCCGCCTCCATCTCCTCCGCCTCCTCCTCCTTCCCCCAGCCACCCGCGCAGTCACAACCGGTTCAGACTGGCCAGGGTGCCCCGCAAAGGAGAGAGGCAGGGGGCAAACCGCGGGGAAGAACTTCCCGGGAAGGAGGAGGAGGAGGAAGAGAAGGTGGAGCCCAGAGGAGGGGGCCGGCTCCCTCTCTCCCTGCACGCGGCCGCCGCCCGCGCGGGGCTCGGCGGGGGCAGAGGGCGGCGGCTCCCGGGGCCGCGCATAGCGGGACCGATTGCCCAATACTCCGGCAGGGGCCGGGGCCGGGCCCGAGCCCGGGCCCCCGGATAAATACTGCCTGTAGGCCCCGAGCAGCCGGGGAGAGCGGCGGCCGCGGTTCTCACCGCACCACCCGCCCGCAGCTGCGCCCCGGAGCCCCGGCCGAGGCCGCTACCCAGGTAAAGGGCTGGAGCTCGCGGGAGGGCGCCAAGGCTCGGCGGCCACCCGCGCTGCCTTGCCTCCCAGAGGCGAGAAGTAAACTCCTCTGGCTCGGAGCGGGAGGCGGCCGCGGCGACGCTGTCACCCGCGGCCAAGCACTTTGGAACAGGTTTCTGGTTTGGGGTGTGTACCGGGGACTGAGCGTCCTCCGTGCGCCCAGCCCTGGATACCCGCCCCTATGGAAAGGTGCTTCTCCGCGGTGGGCAAGTTTTCCCAGCAATCTCAGGGCGTTATTTTGCGCGGAGGTGGAAGAGGGAGACACAGAAAGAAAGAAAGGGGTCCTGGAGGAAGGACCGTGCTCAGGGAGGAGGTCCGGCTCGGAACTCCCGAGACAGCAGCTGGTGGCAGAGAGGGGGTTGGGGGCAATGCGACCGGCTGGTCTCCTCTTTCTCAGAGAGCAGAGGGGACTCCAGGTACCTCGCTGGTGCACGCTGCCGCCCCAGGGAGGGTCGCGGCCGGGGCACCCGGGTGTTCCAGGGCTCGCGGGGGCGGGCGGGAGGCTGCGCGCGGGTCTGGCTGCTTCTACGCCGCCGCGCCAGGTTCAGCACCACCGGGTCAGTCCCGGCGACCGCCACGGGAGGCACGGCACCTCGGCCTCCTGGACACGGGCGGGAATTTGGGTGGACTCGGAGCTTACCGCTCCATCTGTGGTTCGCGGCGGGTAACCTGCTCAGCCGTCAGCAGCGTGGGAGGCTCTGGAAAGAGCTGACAACCATTTAAAAACTTGGTCATCAAAAACAAATCAATGCTTCTTTGGTTGCCAGGTCTAATTCATTCAGCACAGGTCAATCCATCCGGGCTCTTTAGGCGGGATTTACACGAAACAATATACTTAAGCAGTAAGTTATTTCATATAACATTTTGGGGACCAATTTCCTGGGTCACAATTAGTTTGGGTGTATTTTTTTTTTTAAATCTCCAATTATCTGGGTAGTAGTTCAGATCGCAGATGGATTCTTCCTCCCTCCCAGTAGGATATTTAGTTGTTCCATAAAATTGTGTTAATTTAGTATGTCCTGATAGTTTCTTAGATTCAGGTTGGTTTTAGCTCTGAGAAATTGTTCTGACCGCAAGAGTACTTGTATTTTGAGCTAGTTGGCCTTTTCTTTGGGAGATGCTTTGCCGATACCAGCATATTCCTTGTAGCTAATGAGATTGAGCTAGTATTTAACAACTGAGTTCAAGCAAAAAACACATGGTCCGTCCCTGCCTTCAAAGAGTTTAGTCTAGTGGGAAATGGGTATGTTTACAAATATCTACAATACAAGATAGTACAAATGGAGTCATATGGCAGCAACATCATTAGTGTGCTGTTGATGGCAGAGAAAAGGGAAGGTTCATTCAAGGTTAAGAACTAAAAAAAGTTACATAGCAGGTGTAGTGTTTGAGCTGGTATTTGAAGAAGGAAGAGGATTTCCTCCATTGAAGGGAGCCTTGCTGGAACAAGCGAATGGCACAGAGTTCTGGAAGTCCAATGTGTCCGAAGGAAGCAGGGTAGTTTGGAGTGGCTGGAGCCTGGAATTTAAGATAGATAAGGCTGGGAGGTAGGATAGGGCTAGATTGGGGAGAATATGACAAGCCATGTGAAGAAATTAAAAATGTGATTGAACATCATTATTATTGTTATTATTATTATTTATACCAACAAAGTTAGCATCCTTAACTATAGTTTATACCTTGAAGTTCAGTTTTGTTTATTTTTTATTTTTTTAAAGATTTTACTTATTTATTTGACAGAGAGAGAGATCACAAGTAAGCAGAGAGGCAGGCGGGGGTGGGGTGAGGGGAGGCAGGCTCCCTGCTGAGCAGAGAGCCTGATGTGGGGCTGGATCCCAGGACCCTGAGATCATGACCTGAGCCAAAAGCAGAGGCTTTAACCCACTGAACCACCCAGGCACCCTCAGTTTTGTTTATATCCTAAAATAAATAAAGGGATAAAATCTCAATAGTATTTGCTTCCTATAAACATTACTGTAAGAGTAATATATTTCAAGTAGCTTTTAATGCTTTATATAAATCCGATAGTTTTTCCTCCAAGTCTGCAGTCTTATGGTATACCGACTCTTAGTTTGATGAAAACTCTGGATAGGAAGACACGTCCACTTTCCTGAGCAATATGCAGAGTAGAGCCACTGTCTGTTCTGTGTTTCCACTGCCAATAATAATAATTATTAATGTTTATTAAAGATGATATGTCATGTGAGCCACATGCCTTATTTTGTCGAGGAAGAAGGCATAATTTTGATCTTAGGCTGATAATGTTAATAAGGTCACTCAGCTAAGCAGATGATGGGACCAGAATTTGAAGCCAAGAAATGTCTCTTAAAAGCCCATCCTTTGAACTATTGTTGGACTGTCACGTAACAAGGGCATAATACATGATAACTTGTTAAAAGAAGTTAGAAATTGAGCTTGCTACCAGTAGAAGTGTTTCTGTATTTTTAAATTTGCATCCTCATTCCCATCATTCTGATTTTATTATTTTAATTGTTATAATGACGTATAGCATTGTATTACTTTTACATGTACAGCATAATGATTCGATATATGTATATATTGTGAAGTGATTACGACCGTAAGTTTAGTTAACGCCCATCATCACACATACAGTTTTTTGGGTGATGAGAACTTTTAAGGTCCACTTTTTCAAATATATGATATACTATGTCATCATATTGTACCTTACTCATCATTCTGATTAATTTTACTTTACAAATTAATGATGAGACATTTAAATTTTTTTTTTTTTTAAAGATTTTGTTTAGGGCGCCTGGGTGGCTCAGTGGGTTAGGCTGCTGCCTTCGGCTCAGGTCATGATCCCAGGGTCCTGGGATCGAGCCCCACATCGGGCTCTCTGCTCAGCAGGGAGCCTGCTTCCCTCTCTCTCTCTGCCTGCCTCTTTGTCTACTTGTGATCTCTCTCTGTCAAATAAATAAATAAAATCTTTAAAAAAAAAAAAGATTTTGTTTATTTGTTTGACAGAGAGAGACAGTGAGAGAGGGAACACAAGCAGGGGGATTGGGAGAGGGAGAAGCCATTTTCCGGCTGAACGGGATATCTATGTGGGACCCCATCCAGGACTCTGGGATCATGATCTGAGCTGAAGGCAGACGCTTAACGATTGAGCCATCCAGGCGCCCGAGACATTTAAATGTTTTAACACATCTTCAAACTGTTCTATGATCTTGTGCTTTTATGACGCACTCAAAAGAAACTCTTCAGCACTTTGAGAAGAGGTAGGTTATGGATGAGTAAAACATTAGCAAATATGACAACATTAAAAACAAAGACCAGATCTGCCAGATTCTCTGGGAGAGTGTCAATTTCAAATATTCTTCTCATTATTCCCAATAACCCTCCCGAATGCACCAGACCTTTTTGTGTTTCAGCATCCCATATATGTTGCCTTGTGTCTTGAGTTTTTATTCTGAAAGTGATACAGCAAAAATACTGGTTTATACATGACATACTCAAGTGTGTGCTCAGACAACAGATTGGACTCTATATAATCATGTACAAATTATGCAAAACATATACTAAGCAAAAGAACACACTGGTGTAGATACCATCACTGCACGAACCATATCACTCAAAGCACGGCCCAAGTAGTAGCTACCACTTCAGGGAAAAGCTGAAACAAGATCCCAGTAGCATAGGACACATGATAAGAGTATGGGATGCCGGGAAATGGATTATACCAAATTTAAGTGTCTGGCTCTCACTTGCTTGTTCTTAACTCTGTTAAATCTAGATCTTTCCATCTTTTCTCAGACTCTGCGTGGTTTACAAATTCAGCCATTTTCTCTTCTGAGCCTGAGAGCAGTACTGGAAGTAGGTGACTGTTCACTGGATTAGTCAGTGAGGGACCTGGGTGCTGGCCTCTCCTCTAACCACACTACCCCCAGATTGGTGGAAGCAAGTTCACAGGGTTCAGCCAGGGGAGACAGGCAAGGCAGATGATGGGTAGAGTGGGGAGAGCATAGGTGAAACTCTCAATGCAGGTCAACCTTGGTCCTGTGTCAGAGAGATGTTAGAGAGTGGAAGGAACTGGAGAGAACATGTCCATTCTGTGACGATGAAAGCTACTCAGTTCCAGCTAACTGTTATGTGGGAATAAGGGCCCAGTGTTGCCAGGTCTTCTGATGGATTTTCAAGAGAATCCAAAAAGTATGATTTTTATGTGAAATCTTCCAGTTTTAAATTCATTCAGAATTTGCAAAAGTAAAATAAACATAAATAAAATAAAATAAAATAAAAAATTGTGCAGGCCAACAAAATGCCTCTGAAGATCTAGAGATCAGATCTGGTCTGAAGGCTGTCAATTTGCTAGATGATTCCTAAGGCTCCTTCTGGCTTCAGGCTTCCATGATCCTATACTCAATCCGTGTTATCTCTAACCTATTTCTTCCACTTTGGTGAAGCATAACACTCACCATATCTAAGTCATGCTTTGGAGGATAACTTAGCTTTGGAGGAGCTCTTTGCTAAGTGCTGGACTGCGATCGATTTGTAAGGCCTTAAAGAGAAAGAATGTCCTTTTTTGATGGCCATGCTGTTTTCATAATTCATAGGTTCCAGCAGTTAATTACTTGTGTTAATTATCTCTTTTGGGGATGATTAATGTGATTTAATTCGAGGGCCCACAGCTATTTCTCTAAACATTTTCCTTCTCACTCCAACGTGAGATAATAACCCGTCAGGAAATTGATCCTGGCTCCCCCTTGGGCAACTTGTACTCTGTAGTCTGACTTAGGGCCCTCGGACAAAGAAATCTTCATCGTCTTTACCCTGGCAAAGTTTCACTGTTGTAGTCTGTCTCTCCTTTTAAACTTGGAAGTATTTGGGAATGTTCTTGAATTGCATACTGAATCGAGGGTGTAGCTTTTGAGTTGTGTTAATTCAGCAGTTTAGGGCTTTTTTTTTTTTTTAAACATTCTTATATGGACCCCAAAGTAAAAATGAAAACAAAAAGTAATGCATTTATGTCTGATTCCAATCCCAAATTACCTTTAATAACTCTGGTTCCTCTGCAGTGAAAATTCTTTAATATAAATTTTTTTTAAAGGTCAGTTTATTAGATTTGACTGGCTAGGATGTGTTCCTCACTTTATGTCAATGAACTATTTTACAAACAAAAGAGTCTGATTCTAACTGAAAAGTTCAGAGCAGATGTTGACAATGAGACG